TTTTTTTCGTCTTTCCACAAATTGATGAATGATTACCGCATCTAAAACAGTTTGTTTGTTTTTTTCTGGTCTTACAAAGCAAAATTTTTTTCTTTAAACTAAGATTTAAAACTTTATGCTTTTTTTGTTATTCTTTTCAAAATGAGCAAAATTTACATCAATCATAAGCTCATCCAGCGGATGAATAGCCTTAAAAAGTGAAGATTTCAAAAAATTTTCAAATATGGAAATATTATGAAAACAAAAACGAAAATTTATTCGCTTTAAAATTAAACCAAATATAACAAAGCAAAAGAGGGAAAAAAATAAAATATGTTTGCTTGCTTTTTGTTCCATTTTTCATTGTTATTTTGCAAGAAAAAAAGAACTTAGTTTGATAATATTTATGAAATTTTGAATTTTTTCGCTTTTTTAAAATTTTTTTAAATATTTATTTATTTTTCCTTTCCAACATCTTTATTTTTCTTTGCAAAATCTAAAAATGAAAAGAATTTCATTTCATTTTCTTTTTAATTATGCATTTAATATCGTTTGCTTCTTTTGTTTCTTTTTCAGTTATTTGCATTTTCAAAAAAAAAGCAATTCCTTTAGAAATTATCACTAAAAGAAAATTTTAATTTAAAAAAAAAAACTTTTTTACGTTTTGTCGATTTTCATTTCTTTTCATTTTCTTTCACGGCACTAACTATCACATCAGCCTTTTTTCTTATCTTGCTTTTTTTTTAGTTTGCTTTCTTGCCTGCATTTCAATCCTTTCTACAATCTTCCTTATCTTTTGATTAATGATAATTTCGTGAAATTTCCGAGGACACCTGAAAACATATGTCAGTAAAATGTGGTACAAAGCAAACGGAGAAAAACGAAGCCAATCGAAATTTGTTATTAGTGCAGCAAATCGTAAATTACATTGTTTTTTTTTTCCTGGAAAAAATTAGAAGGATTATTTTTTTTCTATTTCATTACTATCAACTAATTAAGCAAATTATGATCTGATCTGCTTAACTAATTAAAAAACGAAAATTTTTATGTTAAATGTAAGAAATAAACTTTTCAAAGAGCTTTTCTAATAATAAAAAAATTCAATTTTAGAATATAATTTTGAAACTCAAAGAATCGCTTTGAAACTATAATATTATTCTAGATTTTGCTACATTGTGTTTTATGTTTTACAAAGCTTTTTTTTTTTTTTTTTAAATTTTGCTCTGTTACTGACAACGACGAGGTGAAAACATTTGAAGTGATGATTGCGGCAAAAAAAAGAACGATCCGTTCGTTATATCTTAGATAAAATTTAATCACTGACAAAAATAAAATAAGCTAACATAGCGTTTAAAAGGTCATAGGTCATCTTTCTCCTTTTTTTCATTCCATTTCTTCTCTTATTTGTGATGAAATGAAAAAAAGTAGCACCAAAACAGTGCTACGTTAAAAAAAGGACTGTAATAATTTTTCAATTTTCAAATTTTTTGCAGTTTTTTTCTTTTCTTTTTTCCGTTCCCGAAATTTTACTAATTCAAATTTCAAAATATTGTTGGTGTAACAAATTCGGCACATCCGGTTTTTATGATGAATTCAGCAAAACCGGTTTTGATCGTATGTTTCCAAAAACTGATTAACCTTTGATTTAATTTTCTGCTCCATTTCACACTTTCAGTATTATTGCTAGACTTTCTTTTATTTAACGAATTATGCCAATCTTTTAATCCATTTTAAAATTTGCGGTACAAATCTAAAGCTAACTACTTATTCATTCTCATAATTTATTTCAACTCATTTCAATTTTGCTAAAGCTTACCAATGGCATTAAATTCTACGGAAATTTTAACAAATTTATTTATAACGCTCTTCAACAGTAACAGCAACAATTTCTGGAATTTTAATGTTTTCGGTATTCTCAAGAATTTACCGTTCATTTGCAGCAATTCCCCGAATTTTCAACAAATTTACTACTTATTTATAGCAATTTTTGGAATTTTCAAAAAAAAATTGCCACTCATTTATAATAATTGTTGGAATTTTCAAAAAAAAAAAATTGCAGAGAAAATTTAAACAAAAAAATTATTTACCCAATTTTCAGCAATAATTCCCGAAATTTTCAACTATTTTTGCCATTCATTTTTAGGAAATTTTCAAAAAAAAAAAAATGAACAATTGCAAATGGAACTTTAAAAAAATATTTATCCAAGAATGGGAAAAAATTGATGAATCTAAAATGTTAAAGAAAATGAAAAAAGAAAAAAAAAGAAAGAAATGGGATGAAAGTAAGTTTTCGGGAATAATGACGAATTGCTATTTTAGAAGATATCGCACAGACAAAACGGAATGGTCTCTCTTTCTTCCAATCATATTAATGACTGTTTCGATTCTTATCGATTTGACCAAACCATCTATTTTTCCCTATCCAATCTTTTTTGAAAAAAAAAAAGTTGTTATCAATCAAATGCTTTTGTTCTTTAGCGCAAAACTATCTCTTCATTTTGCATATTTATATTTAAGCACAAATAAACGGACACATGCACACACACACACACACACACACGCACACACACACACACACACACACACACACACACACACACACACACACATTCATATTATGGAATATGACATCTCGAAATAACTAACTGAAATATCCGTCCCATTCCGATTTGTTGCATCATTAATGACCATAATGGTCAATCGAACGGAATTGCTGCAAAGTAGGTCATCCATCATTTGGGATTTTATGTCACATTATTGGTAAATTATCAAATTACATCAGGGATATTTCCTAAGTTTTTCTGCCCAGATAATATTACTTTAATCTCACTCTTCATTTCACATTTAATTGTCCACTTTTTTTGTGACTTGAAAAGAAAATTTAAATTGTTTAACCGATTTAGCATTTTGGATTAATCCAAACGAATTAATTGATTAGCAATTTTAATTAATCCTGATTGAAATATCTCATTTATTTTTAGGCTAATATTAGGATAGTAAATGTGATGATTAGTTGGAAAATGATTAGCGAAATTAATATGCATTGTGGAAATAAAGAAGATTAAATTAGAAGAGCAAATTGGTTCAATTTTATAAAATAAATTTTGAAATTGAAAAAGTAAGAATTGATTGTAAAATGATAGAGAGAAAGTAAACCTTTCACATCACTCATTTCTCTCTCTCTCTCTCTCCCTCTCTCTTTCTCTCTCTCTCTCTCTCTGCTGTATACTACAATAAATCAAAATGCATACGCCTCAGAAATGGCACTTTAAATCTTGTGGATGAAATTAATGATTGTGGAATGGAATCTTTTCAAACCTAAGCTAACATCTTACCACATACCCTATAACCTTTCAAATACTTTCTTTCTCTTTCTTTTTTTGATTAATAATTTTATGAAAAGAGAATAAAAAAAGCAAACGAAAAAATGTTGAGATCGAAAAATTAAGGAAAGAAATGAAATATATCGAATTTGAAAATGATTAATTAATGAAAAAAATAGATTAGATTTTCGATAACAAAAAAAAAAAAAAAAAGTAAAGCAACTTTAAAAAGTTACGCAATATTACGTAATGATAAACGATAATAAACCATATCATTTGTTGGAAACAATAATTAATTATTACCGATAATTATAAAATGAATACTAACATTAATAGTAACAATGATAAAAATATATTAACAACTTCGGTTGAGTAAAAGAAAAAAAAAAGGCAATTAAAACAATAACATTAACAACATAGTCAATAATAGCAACAATAAAAACATTAAGAAAATATTGCTATATTATATTCATTGATAAATGATATCGATGAGGAAAAGAATGGAAGATGGACGAAGGCCACTACTCATTCATTCACTCACTCATTTACGATGGTCACAATCGATCATCCATCGTGTCGATGGATAGAAAGACCTCTCACTTCCTTACAATCCCTGAAATGACCAAATCTGTTAGTTAGTTAGTTGAAAGGGGAAAATAAATATTTATTAGCAAGTTTGCACTGAATTTATTTGTTTTTTTTTTCTTATAAAATTTGATAAATAAATAACAAAATGATTGTTTAAAAATTGGAAACTATTATTTGATGTAAAAAAAAAAACAGAAGAGAAAAGAAATAATTAAACGAATACTTAATTATTATTTGAATAAACAAGTATAAGCAACAAAAATAGTGATAATGGTGAATTAATAATGTACAAATATGAGAATAATTTTAGTCCAACAAAATAAATGTACAATTAAATTAATTGAATAAATAAAGGAAAATAAATGAATGAATAATAATAACAACAATAACGATAATAATTACAATAATAATGATGGTATAATAAGAAGATAATAATAACGGTAATTAATAATAACGACAATAACGCAGTAGTAATGATGACAATAATGATGATAGTTAAACGATAATGATAGTGGAATCAGGCAATTTAAAATGTTATTAGAAAGAATTAAAATAAATCACTGAGATATAAGTTAATAAATGAGAAAAATAAAAATTTTAATGGTATTTTTAAATCAATTAATGTGATATTTTTATAGATTTCCAAATTTGGTTGGTGACGAAAGTGAAAATGATGCAGCGAACGGTTTTAGCACATTTGATCCACTAATTAAGATTCGATGTTCATCACGGCTCAAATTTTTTCTTTGTTCCATCTATTTTCCAATGTGTACCGATAAGGTTTAGTTTGTAATTTAAAATTTATCGTTAATTTCTGATCCCGACTTTTACCTCCTTCCCTCCCTCCCGTCGGTTATTAGTATGCATCTCATTCCACTTTTAAACATGTAAGAAAGGTCAAGTATTTGACAGTAAAGAAAGGTCAAGTATTTGACAGTAAAGAAAGGTCAAGTATTTGACAGTATTTTAATATTAATATATAAGAAAGGTCAAGTATTTGACAGTATTTTAATATTATCTTCAAGTGCTAATTGGTATTAAGGTCAATTTGTAGATAATACTTTAGTCTTATTATCTTCAAATGCTAATTGATATATTATGGGTCAAGTGATGGATAATAATTCAGTCGTACTATCTCAAATGCCAGTTAATGTTTCCTTCGCACGTTAACTATTGGTTTTCACAAACTATCTAACCTTTGACCTTCTGATGATTCACATTTTATATTAATGGGATATGACATATGCAAGCATCTAGAGAATTCGTTATTTCCATTCCGATTAGGAAGATTTACAATGCTTTATCATTCAAAATCAATATTGATCATAAATCGTGACACATAGTTTTGATTAAAGAAGCCAAAAAAATCAATTTTTTTTTGATTGCTATAAGCAACAGTTAACGATGACCTTTTGACCTTGATGATAGAAATCATTTTTTTGAAGATTGCTGGATGATTGCACTTCTTTGTTGACTTTTGCGGCAAAATATAGCCAGCGAAAGTTACATTAATTATAACAAAAGAGAAAGAAATTTGGTAAAGATTGCTTCAAATGTGAGAATTCAGAGAGAGTTATATGCGATAATTTAATCGATCAAAGGTTAAGATAGTCTAATTTACAGAACAGTACGAATCTAACATACACGTTTTGCATATATCATTCCTAATGTTTAGGTACCAATTGCAATTGGACCATGTCGACCACTTTGTGAACGGGTACAAATGAAATGTGAACCGTTGTTGAAGGAATTTGGCTTTCCATGGCCATTTTCAATGAATTGCTCGAAATTTCCGCTCGGTTAGAAATAATCATTTCCCACTTACTTTAGTCATTTCGTTTTTTTTTTTTATTTAAATTTTGATTGAAGTAATGAAAAGCGAAACAGAAATCATAATGAATACGCATCATCTGTCATAATTACAATTCATCGAAATGCATACAGTTCATGAAGATAACTTTTAGCTTACATTAATTTATGCTTATATTTATATTTATTTAAATGGATAAAAATAATCTTCAAGCATAATATGTAAAGTAAAAATGAAAAAGAAAAATTTGTGCTTATATTTATTTAATTTATTTAACTCGTATTTATATTTATTTAAAATTTGTGCTTTATATCATATTTACATTTATTGAAATGAGTAATTATATTTATTTAAAATATGATTATACTTATTTAAAAGTTATATTTATTTAGGAGATGAATAAAGATAATCTTCAAACACAATATGTAAAATAAAAAATGAAAAGGAAAAAAAATGAGTGATAATTTATAAATGAAAATATATAAAATGAGTGAAATTTGTGGTAAACAATTGTGATAACTAAATTTAAGATAATTTAATTAATGATAATTTAGAAAACAATCATGATGCGATGTGCATGAAAGGTCCAGCTTCGGAAGAGGATGGTCCGCAGTCGATACCTGAGGAACTGGAATCAGATGTGGCCAAGAATGTGATCACATCAAATCGTTGTGTGCAACAGCCGAGTACAATTTATATGAATCGAACTGGACATTGTGTCCCATTGTGTCATTCAAATAATGGTTATACAAAGGTTTGAAATATTTTTAAAATTATATTTTGTTACATTTTAATAACATTTTCTTCCATTTATTAATAGTTTATAATGTTACTGAAGCAAAATTACATTAGCAAATAATTTGGATTATTTGTTATTTGCTAATTAATTTATTTATTGTAGGATGATCGTGAAGCAGCTAGTACAGCTTTATTCATTATGTCATTACTTTGTACTGCTTTAACATCCGTTTGCTTGCTAACATTTTGCACTCGGAAACATTGTTTAGTTGGCATACCGGAATTATCACTCCTATTTTGCTCCATATCATTTTCCGTTTCTGCTATTGTTTATCTCTTTTCGCTGCTCTATCGTGATCAGGTATAGTATCTTAAATTTCAAAAATTAAATTTTATTTATTAAGAGCGATAAAAAAGAATAGTTGGAAAAAGAATGTATGGCAGAAGTAGCCGTAAATATAAATTATTATTAATATGAAAAAATTTGGTAAATTGAAGAGATTAAATGATTGAAAGTATTTTTCCGATTGAATCGAAATTGTTATTGTTTGTGATTTGTCAGTGTAAATTCGTTTTCTCTAATATTATATTACTATAAATGATACAAACATTTCCAGATTTCCTGTATCGAATATAATTCGAAACTCATTTTTGTTGTTACCGGAGTTCAACATATACCATGTACAGTTGTTGCCATTCTTCTGTACTATTTTGGAACAACCGGTAGATTATGGTGGTTTGTATTGTGCTGCACATGGAATAAGTACACCCAAAGGCATCAACAAAATTCGGTATTCATAATTATTAGGAAAATATTTTAACTGATTATATAAATTGATAATAATTTTAATCGCTTATCGAATATTAGGCTACTCATTCGTTTGTCAAAAATAGATTAACCAATGACCTCTCTAACCGATGGCTTTTTTTTTTTTTTAACTTAATCCCATAGTTAAAATATCATTGATTTGAGCTATCTTTTTAATCATTTCAACAGAATACCGTAACAGTTTTGTTTAGCACCTATACGGTATTGCAATTTCGAAATATTAAAAAAATGAAATTATCCGTTCCAATTTCGTCAAACAACTCAAATTTTCTCAACAATTATCAATTTTTAATTTCATGAATCCAAAAAAAGTGAAGGCAAAAAAAAATTGATTGATGGAAAAAGCAACAACTTACATACTTTTCATTTTTTTTTATTCCCATCTATACTTGCTCCAAAAAAAAAATAAATAAATAAAAAGAAAAAAAAGAAAGATAAAATTGAAAAAAAAAAAAGAAATTGCAGTTTATAAAGGCATTTTTACTTTTACTCATTTAAAGAAAAATGTCACAACGAATCGAAAATTTGATTGATTTAATGTACTTTCTTTATTTTTTTTTTCATTTTGTTTATTTGAATAACGATCAAAATTTATATCTTTTCGTTTTTGTGCATCACTTTTTTTTCCCTTTTTTTTCCTCTTTTTTTTGTTAATTTTCCATATATGTATATATAGACATAACCGGCACATTCTTTTAAGTTAGAATGAAAAAAGAAAAAGAAATGGATGATTTGAATGAGTGATTATTTATAGATTTTAAAAATGAAAAAGAAACGAACGAAATATTTTTGAATGTGTTAAATAAAAATTTTTACCACAAAAAGCTTTCATTTTCATCAAATACTATCATAAATATACAATATGACGGAATTTTTTATTCCTTTTTTTTTTGTTCTAATAACTTATATAATACAGAAATTGAAATGCAAAAAAAAAATGGAAAATAAGGAAAAGAAAAAAAGTTGTGAAAATTGAATTTGAGGATTCGTTATTACTTCGAACTCATATGCTCGCTTGGGGAATACCATTGGGTGCTGTAATTTTGGCTTTAATGGCACAAAGTGTTCGAGCTGATCCATTATCGGGTATTTGCTTGGTTGGTGGCGGAAATCGTACCATTGAAGCGGCATTTGTTTCGCTACGTGAATTAATCCTTCTGTTATGCTCATTAGTACCATTGTTTTTCGGTTGCCTGGCACTAATTGGTATAATTTCTCATATGTTTTAAATTTAAATTATTTTACTACGACAATTATTATTAGCCATAAGTTTCATCTCTTCTATAATCATTATCATTTTTCATTTTTCTCATCTTTACCTCATTTCTTTGACCCTTTTTTTTTTGTTCGAAAAAAAAGATGGTATTAATTAAGAAAGCGTAAAATTCTTTTCTTTTGTCTTTTTTTTTTCAAAAAGTATTTGTTAAAATTAAAAATAGAAAAAAATGGATTAAATTTTTGCAGAATTCTTTTTCCAAATTTTTATCGCCACTTTTGTTTTGAGGTTCCGCTCCAGCTACTGATCATTCTGTTGCATCAGCTGGTTTACTTGGAAGTTTATATCCGATGGCTGCTGCATTCTTGTTGCTCAGTTCTCTACAGTATCTTCTAACACCTACAGTAACCGGATGGAATACTGTAACAGCAATAAAACTTTTAGCTGATCCATTACTTGGAATATTAGCATCAGCAGGATGTTTCATTCAAATTCTTTTCAATATTTTTAAAGCAAATCGTTTGCAACTTTTGGATAAGAATGGTTATCAACCGGCTGTACCACGAATACCTCAACCAGCAATTCCATCACATACTACGCCAGCAAGCAATGCTTATTCATTGTCCAGGTATCCGGAACAGAGACCACTTTGTTGACCATAGGAATAATTTAGATTGCAATAATTATGTTTAATAATTAAAAATTTTGCTATCAAATTTATTGTTGTCTTTTTTAAATTGATTAATTTTTAACGGTAAATAAGTGAGTGTAGTGAGAAGTTTTATTTTTATGACATATTTCGATTAATTGCTGCAATAAGCGAATATTCTTATTTTTAGCAATAAGTTGTTCAATAATAGCCATGCATATATATGTTGCTGATACAATATTATCATTCTCTTCAACAGTTATAAATAAATATGATGTATGTAAATTGAGAATTTAAAAGCAAAATACAGGGATAATAAAATTGCTAATACTCATAAAATAATATAGAAGATTAGGAATACAAAAAACGCTAAAAGAGTTATGATAATACATTTTAAAATTAATTGGTTAGAATTTTCAGCTCAAATTTTGTTTTGTTCATGTGTAAATGCATTTAAATGCTTCATAAAATACATTGGAAAAGGGGAAAATATGTTTACAAATAACAAAATAATTAATGATCAATTGAGAATAGAATTGTTTGTTGCACAATTATTATCGATATGATAATACCTTTCTTATCTAAATTTTATTATGTTTTACTTTTAAAAAAATTGTCCTCTTTTTTTGAATCAGAAAATCATTTGAAATTGAGGAATTGAAAAAATAGATGAAAAATTAAAAAATATAAGAATTTTAATCAGTTATTGAATTTTCAATTTTTTTTCATAGATCAAACATTTTTATAAAAAATCTTTCATCATTTTGCAAATTTTTAATGCTAATTTATAATGAATGATAAATTATTTATTATAGTCATGTACATAAAATTTTTTTACAAAATATTTTTTCCAAACTATATATATGATAAAAACAGTGGTAAATGTCATTCTAAAAAATTGGAATAGATTTACACTTTTTCGGAAAATAAATTTTTGAAAATGTATGAAAAATTTGCTATAAAGATCAGAAAAAATAATAAGTACGAAGTATTCAGAAAATTAATTTCATTAATATTTAATTACGTTTACTCTGAAAATAATTAGTTCTAAAATTGAATTTTTTATTCAAATATTTCTTCGTTTGGATAAACCTTTGAAAAGATATATTTTTATACTTTACATTATTACTATTTATGGGAGAATAATATTTTAGCGGTACAGTAAACACTTGGGTACTATCTCTTCTAATCTGTCTATTACTGTAATCACATACATATGTTTCATTTCTTCATCTCTTATTATATTCATATTCATAACTATATGGTGAAATTCTTTTTTTTTCTTTTTAATTTTGGTTCGCATATCATATTTGTTCGAGAAAAAATACAGTGTATCCAAGCAAATTTTAATATTTAATTTGATCTAATTGTAATTGCTTAAAACATATTTATTTGTTCTTTTTTTCTTGTCTTTTTAAAATGTTTGTTTTATTTCATTTTCCTTTTTTGGTTCCCTTGTTTTTGTTTTCTTCGTTTCATCCTTTGCATACTTTTTCCTCAAAATGCTTTGTTATGTATGCTTTTCTTTTTTTGTTCCTTTTGTTTTTAGCCTGTTAAGCTTATATTATATATAATCATTGCTGTTAATTATTGTTATCACTATTACTATCATCATAATAATAATTCTTATTTCCTATTATTATTATCATGATTATGATTGTTATCATTTTTATTATTACTGATGCTGTTCTTATGGTAAAACGTGACATCATCATCTTCACATATTTCATCTACCAAACAGGAGTTTTGTGGATTTTTAAACTTCGAAAATTCACAATTTGAATTTTTCAGATGAAAAACATTGCAAATACATGAGGAGGAGTCATGCAATAAATGATAAATGATCAGTGCTATTGTTTTAATGTGAATTACTGAGTTACAATGAGAAACTGAAATGAATTAATTAGCAATATCCTATCATCATGCTTCACCAACTAAAGATTTTATTCAGATTATATTATCAAATCTACTAGCTACTGATAGCTATAGATATGATATATTACGGTAACAAGTCTACTTCATATGAAGAAAGTAGATGGAACAGATATGTGCCATGGATCTTAATGCTATCAATCATTTATTGATGATCATTTATTTACTTCAACATTCTAAATGCTATGAGTAATTGATGTCATCATATCTCAACTAACAAAATATTCCTTTCTTATCACAAATTCGATCATACATAAATTTATTAATCTATTTCGAAATACAGTTGATTTTAAAACACTAAATTATGAAACGAGAAATGAGATTAAATATAACAAAATATTCAATAATTTTAGAATGATGATAATGTATCAAAAAATACATTGTCTATGATTTTTACAATTCTCAATTCCAATAATTTATGCAGAATTCTTGACGTGAATAACGCTTTTAGTTGAGATATTAGAATACAGTCGAGAAAAAGGTAGATTAGAGATAAAATTGAGCATCTCAAACTATATATTCATTGAAGTGATCAATACATTTTTATAGAAATAACGCGCACTTCAATACTTTCAGATTGCTGGATAATAATTTTATTTCTAACTCTTTGTGATAGAAAAAAATACGATTTACTTAATTAATGTAAATTGGTAGTATGAACATTCAAATATATGCAAATTAAGGTTACAAATTAATTATCAAAACCTGAACATGTGTACAAATCACAACAAGTTACTAACATGGAAACATATTTCGAAATGTAACCGTCAGGAAATGGTATTTATGGTATTTATGTGTAAAATATCCTTGAATTTCAAACATAAATTTTTGGTCTAAAAGTTATACTTTCGTTATACAAGTCTTAGCCTCAGCAATATTTTTTGGAATCCAGTCAAAATTTTTTGGTAGCGGTGGTATTTCGATTGAATTTGGAATGTGATCCAATTCAAGCAATCGCATTTTCAGCTCAATATTCAAAAATCGATCTACTTGTCGCTGAGCCTGAGTCGACAGCTTATTGACACCTACAATTAAGATTTTCCTGTAAATTGTTCGAAAATTCAAACTTCATCATTAGAAGCGATTATGTTGTCAACAAAGATAGGACATTTGTATCAGAACAAAGAGCAACAATATTTGATAAAATGTAAGACTTCGAATGCAAAAAAAAAAGAATAAACGAATTACCAATTAGAGCATTAATACCATCACACCATGCATTTATCGTTTGCTCATCAAAAGTTACCAAATGATAGAGATCAGGCTTATTACCAACTTCTAGCGTTATACCACGTACATTTGAATTTTTCTTTCCCTTCATACTACTCATTGGAAAATCGCCTTCACCACCAGCTACGACACGTTGTATATCAGCAATATCTACTGTAAACATATTCCTTTTAATTTCAAAAAAAAAAAAAATGACTCATAAATAATTAATACTAAAATTCTCCATAAAACTGATAGCAAATCCATATTTAACTTTACTTTTCATATTTCCAGTAGAATTTGCATCTGATGATGATTCTGTGTTCGAGCAGTCTGTACAAATCAACGTTTTTTCATTAGCATCCAATTTCCAAAACCAAAATTGCTGTCCTCAACAAATATCTGCTAATTAATCAATTTTGTTTTTCTTTACAAAATACATTTTTTTGATCTAATCTCTGATAAATCAATCAATATGTATTTGATATGTAAAAACATAATATTACATTGGTATATAATAATTAATTATATTCATTCCTAACTAATGATTTGCATAAAAGAACGTACACTACGGTCCGCTAAAAATGAAATCAAATTTGATTTAGCATAACAAATTGCTAACCTTTTTCAAATTCTTGTATTTCTCTTTTAGTGTAGTTATAGATTTTTTAATTTATTTATGTGAACTTCTATTGATCAGTAATTATTGTAGTAAGAAATACTTCATGTCTCATTTACACCACTTTTTTTTTCCTTTTGATTTTTTCATTTTTTTTGTTATTACCGAATATTTATTCCGTATTTACTTTTCTTGAATTGAAAATATTCTTAAAAATTTCTTTTTTTCCGGTTTTTTACGAATGTTATAGTTTTCAAGTGCATCTATACTTGAAAAATTCGAACATTGGAACAAAGTACGGTGACACATGAGACTACGAGCGTGAATTAGCAGATAAAAGAAAACCTTTCTGCATCGATTTGCTTTTTATTAGCTTCCCAAATTTATAGCCATTTTTCAGTACGTTTTTACGATTCTTCAAGACTAGTTCAACAATACTTGGTCGAAGATACTCTCGTAACTCTCTAAAAGATGAAGAGATTTTTTCGCAGTTGAAATATTCTTTCTACACTAAATCTATAGCAATTGAATCGAATTTCTACACTAAATCTATAGCAATTGAATTCAATTTGATTGAAAAAAAATTAAAACCTACAGCTTCAGCTTAAAATTAGCTCAGGTAAGTCATTTCCGATCCAGTGGCTTCATCAACTGATAGTTCAAATGCGGTGGAACCAAAAAAGTAAAACAGTTACAAGCTTTAAAAATTCACTTGACAGCATCACTTTGTAATTCTTCTGCTTCTTTGGCACTTCTTTCTTTTTCCCAAATTTTCTTCATATGCGGATATGAATGAGCTGCTAACAATTCTTCCAACCTTTCGATTGTATCTGGTTTTTCTAGCAAACAAACATCAATTTGCTTTCGAACAACTGCCAAAACCTATAATAAATAAATTTCTTCCTTGCATTTCCTGAATAACGAACTAGCCGGAGCATAAGACATAATACGTGAAATTATGGAAAAAAAAGCATATGGCATGTCTTGGAGAGAATCTCGGAACCCTAATGAACCAGCTTGTTATACAAATATTGAAAATCTGTTGAAAATTGAATATTCTCGAAAAGCCAAAATAATTTTATAATCTAGGCTAATGAAATAATAGATGTAAAATTATATTATACAATCTGCACTGTAAAAGATGCTCATTAATGATTTAAACTGTTTAAAAATATTAAGCTAATTTGTTTGCACTTTATTATAATAAAGCCATCGTTCATTACATGATTGTAAAATGTTCAACTGGTCCTTTGCTTACTTTGCTCTCTTTAAATTAGCTCGATTCGATTCGAGCAGTATTACGAGTATCAGTATTAGTATTCGATCATCATTACGATATGATCTTTACCAGTATCACGGATGATCTTCACTAGCAGCAGGAACACTACCAATAGCGACCGACTATACTCGTGATATTTACTGATAATTGTCTTCTAACAAGAGTAAATCTTTGTACAAGAATAAATCTTTTCCCAACCAATAAAACCTTTGTTCTAATCAATTATCTGCGTTAATCCAATAGCAAACAAAATTATTTCACGATAGCTTAGAGTTATTTCAATCAGCGACCAGAAACTAGTGAGATCAATATAGTCGGTTTAAGATATGAAACAGTTTTCACATTACAAAAAAACATCCAAAATTAGTCTAAAATTTTGTTCACCTTTTTGATGTCTTCTTCACTTGCATGCATTTCACGCCATGTACGATGAAAAAGTTTTACAAGCACAGCAAAAAGATCCAAAAATGGTCGATCACTTTTGAACAATAAAACCATTAATCGATCACCTTCTTCTATAAATACCTTATTTTTTCACCATTTATACAGCAGAAATTCAAATGTCTGTTTATTTCTCTAAAAGTGAAAATAATTTGTAAATACCAGGTTCATTAACAATATGAAGAATATCAATCAGCATTTGCACCAAATGAACCGATACTAGCAGAAAAGACCACAGACTGCTATCAGATCTCATTGAATTTTCCATGGATATCTAGTGATAATCGTATATAGTACATCAAGCATCAATAAACATCTCATTTCAAGCTGTTGTTTGCGTTTCATTTGAAAAAAAAAAAGAAAAGTCATAAGAAATAAGTATAAAACCTAAGTGGTAAAGTTTTACATTATTGGAAGTAGCATTTATAACTAAAATCACAACTGAAAAAATAATCAAAATTGTTAGTAGGAAGATGCATATTCTAAAATGAATTCTGTTCAAACAACAAATACATGAAAAGGTTACTAATTTACTTTTGCAATGGAATCCGTATGATGAGTAACAAATAAGAGAATCGTTTCCAGTGCTAATGATCCCGGTGGAGTTTGTATGACCGCTTCTGTGAAATTTAAAAATTCCGCACGCTTTTCCTCTGATGCAAGCATTCCCTTACCGCCCTCATTGTTGAAAAGTTTGAGTTGCTGAAGACTTAACAACTGTCAAACATAATAAAATTTAGTCAGATTTCCTTTAATTCTACATAACTAATTTAAAAAACATAAAGTTCTGATAAAAAACGCATGTATAATTACTTACAAATAATCAAATAATATTTATAAATAACAATTTGAATGAGAAAACCATAAAATATCTATTACTTATAAAAAATTTAAAAAAAAATCATCATCTTGTTTCTTACACATATAAATTTGTAAACTATGATTTTTTCAATTTCAACCTACAAAAACTCGTTCGATTTCTGCATCTGTAGGAATACGCATAGCTTTTTGAGATAAATTATTCAACTGAATTCGTTGTACTGTAACAAGTTGCTGCTCAATTCCAACGTCCAATTGCTTTCCTTTTCTTAGTACCGATTTTTCAATTGCACAACGAAAAGGTGTTACATGCAGATGCTTAAAATTTAATATTACAAAAGCGCATGAATTAAAGCAACATTATTTTTGCAGATTCTTTTAAATGATTTTCTGAGCTCATGTTAATTGGTTGCTACTGAGAGGTTATCACTTTCAAAGATTACTGATAGTTATTACAACAAATTTTAATATTAATAT